TTTTTTTTTTTTTTTTAATCGTTGTCATTTGGAAATGAGATCGCACATAAGTATGAATCGAGATCGCGATTTTCTAACGATTAATCGTGCAGCCCTAGTTAATACAATTTTAATGTAATCTAAAAAAAATAATATTATGTCATCGCTGGCTGATAATGCTACATTAAATGAAATTAAATTAAAAATTCAGTGATTGATGTGATCTCCCAGACCTAACAGTTGTTCCAAAAAAACAAAAACAAAGAAAAAACTATCCCGAGCTTTTATGTACTTTTAAAACAATATGCGACTGTAATTGCAGATCTCGCATTAGGAGCCTGTGACAGCCACAGATGCATTTGAGTTCTCTTTTGACCATGGGCAACTTCTCTTGCAGATCAGCTTGTGGATAAAGCCAAAGTTGAAGAGAGTGAGCAGAAGGCAACAGAGTTCTCCAAAAAGGTGAGACATTAATCACTCCAGCAGCGCCCCTCGGTTGGTCAGCTCCCATCAGGAAAGTTTTTTCTTCCTCCGAGCTCCCAGACAAGCTATTGATTTTCCATGCCCTGATCAATACCTGGCTGTGACGGTACATGATCCGTATCAGCATTACAAGAATCAATGCAGATGTTCTGATGTATACTTATTTGTGCACAGTGCCAGGGTAGAGTTAAGTTATATGCAGACTCTGATGTTACATGTTCTGCATTTTAAGCTGATGCTTTCTGGGCCTCTTACTGTATTTTAAATTCGTTGTGGTATCATTCAATTACTGGCTGGATTGATGGTTTGTATTTTTGGAGAGAAATAAAATTCAAAACCTTTCTTTCAGCGTCGTACTTTTAGTAATAAATTGTATTTTATGGAGAAACATTATCACAGGCTGACAACACCCCAGTGGGGGTCCTGGGAATGTTTTTTCCTTAAGAATCGTGCCCCATCATCGCACCGGGCACCCTACTGGGGTAGTGAAGTCATTGTAATGACACGGCATCGTTTCTGCAAAGGTTAGAACCATCAGGATACATGAAAGCCAAGCCTGAACCACAGACAGAGGACAACAGGGCTCTAGGGACACGGGGCCTATGAACAGAAATTGTCCAGAGAGTGTAAGATGGCGTGTCTGTTGACGTGCCCTGTGGCCAATCTCTGGAGACACCCTGCCGCTCACCAACCTGCCCGTGTGTTTACATCTTTGTATATGTGTTCTGCACATAGACATCTTAGTATTTCTTGTTGCAGTTTGATGAAGAGTTCAGTGCGCGGCAGGAGGCCCAAGCCGAGTCTCAAAAGAAGGAAGAAAAAATCAAAGAGTTGGAGGGGAAGATCCAAGCCCTGGAGTCCCAGGTAAATCCATGAAGAAATCCTTTTACTCTACAGAACAATGTTGCATTCCGCAGAGATCTTTATCTTTATCTTTCCCCAAAAAACAAGAAAACAAAGACAGGTGAAGCTCGGTTGTCCAAAACTTTTCTGTTTTTAAAATGAAAGACTAAGAATGTGCAAATAAATGTGTTTGTGCTAAAATTGTAGCACAGAAAAGTAACGGCGCCACTAAAAGAAAGTTTTGTTTTTATCCGGATACCTTTCCACCCCACTTACAGATGCAAAGCTACTGTAAGTGGGAGTTATCACCCATGCAAGAACATTTGATTTAATAAGGGGTCAATCTCCTTCTTAAGTTGTATTTCTTTATATGGACGAATTGCTCTATTGAAGCTTTTCCTATGAAATTCTATCATCACAGACATCGATTGCATTTCTTTTTCTTGGCCTCCACATCATTTCTTGCCTGGCAAAATCTTCCATTTTGAATGCAGAAAATGACTGCTATTTCCCCCTTAACCCAATTTCAAACACTTTAGTACTACCTTGGGACAAAAAGGCAGTTTGCCTCCCTGCTTAGGGAATTTAATATAAACCAGCATTGAAAGATGGTATGGCTACATCCGTAGCAGAGATTGCTTTTTCTTTCAAACATTCATATCTCGTGGCTTATGTTGGTACTTACCAACTGATAAACTGCATATGTGGTCCAGGAATCACTTTCACAGCTCACGTCGGTCTACAAAAAATACTGTTATGCAGAATGAACTTAAGCTGCTTTCATAGCCAAAGTTATGTAGCCGTTTTCTCCTTCGGATTCAGTTTGTGTGTAGATCTCACTCCTGTGTTTCATACGCCTACAGGGTGTGTCGCCGCTTCTTACCTGCACTTGTAACCTCTGAGGTGTCAAATTGAGCCATAACAAATGCAACATTACATCTAAGAGTTTAATAGAAATGTAGGTGTGTGTGCAAGTATGCACAGCCCTGATAAAAAGAAAGAGTTTTACATATTTATAATTAACTTTTATCATCCCTCGTAAGTTCTAAAATCATTTTAGTTCAAGCTCAGATGAACAACAATACATTAAATATTGTTATTTATTTAACAAAACTTTAGCCAAATATAACAGAAGCAATGTGTGAAACACCAAGTTCACCCTTCTAGTTCTAGTCAGGTGCTGCTAATCAAATGCACTTGATTAACTGATCGTCAGCGTGTGTGAGCACCTCTTTAAAAGCAATTCGTGACAATTTGCACATCTGGATGATACAGATGTGGGCTAATACAATGCAAAAGAGGAAAGATATCAGCAGTGATCTCAGAGTAAGCAATTGTTGCTGCTCATCAGTGAGGAAAGGGTCATAAGGACCTGTCCAAATGGTCCCAGTGTAGTCCATCATTCTGCAGTGGGAAAGAGTGTTTACAAGTGGAAACATTTAGTCTTCCCAGGAGTGGACTTGTGGCCAATTCACCACCGAGTCTGACTGTTCAATGCAAGAGAAGCTGCCAAACACCTACAGGCTATGTATGTCAGACTCTGCAGGCTTCAGTTAACATGTTAAATGTTAAAGTTCATGACATAACAGTTAGAAAAGGACTGAACAATTATGGCTTGTTTGATAGGGTTGGCTGGATTAAGCCTCTTCTCTGGCAGCATGACTCGGGTTAGGAAAGCTGCATGTGACCAAACCACAAGGCTTCTGAAACCATCTCATTTGGATGGATAAAACCAAAGTGGGGATAATGCACAGCGCCACATTAGGGGAAACTAAACACAGCACATCACCACAAGCATGTCATACCAACTGTCACGAACAGTGGAGGAAGGCTGATGGTTTTCAGGCTTGTTTTGCAGAAACAGGACTCTGGCACCTAACAGTTATTGAGTAGACCATGAACTCTTCTCTATACAAATGTATTTTACATTCAAATATGAGGCCATCTGTCCAGCAGCTAAAGCTCGGCTAAAACAAGCACAGCAGCAACAACACAATGGCTGTTGAAAGAAAAGTATCAAAGTATTGCAATGGCCCAGTCAAGGTCCAGACCTCAACCTGAATGAAAAGATGTGGCAGGACCGAGAGCTGTGTATAAATGAATGCCTGCGAACATCAATAAACTGAAACAACACTGATAAAGTCATCCAGAAAACGACTGCTTTAAGACATTAGGGAGTTATTGCTGAGTTCTACATGCCTTTGAATTAAAGGGTTTACTTTGTTTCTCACACATGACTTCTACATTTTGGCTTAATTTTAATAATAATGAGTCGGTTGCTGTTTATTTCAGGTTGTATTTACCTTGTAAGGAATATGTAATCCTTTATTATGTCCTGATAACTCAAACCTTAGTATTTACTAAGTGTCTGATCAATAACAGGACGTGTTTTTACCTGTGACATCTAAAAGGACAAATCTCTTCTATCCCTGCATCCACTGAGCATCTATAAATCCATGCTGTTTGGTCATATAACAGGTACCTCAAACAGGCTGAATGTTTTTTGGCTTTTCATTGTGCCCAAACTAGTTCATCACTTCTTTCCTAAGCACTGCAAGCCCATTTTAATCAGTCCATAATCTCCACCTCCCCTGCTCGGCCTTTTTCTTTCTTTGCCTTGCTCAGTCTTTGTGTACATCAGGTTGTGCTACCTTTACCTGCCCTAATTCCCTCGTCGGAGCTTTTAACAATCTTTTTTCTGCACTATAACACGCCTTTCCCTCATCTTCCCATAGCAGGTCTGTCTTTTGAAGACTAGCTGGCTATGGTGCATTAACACGTAGCGTACAGCAGAGAAGCCCCGGAGAGTCAAACTCTCTCTTTCTCTGTTTGTCTGAATGCTCCTTCAAAGAACAGCTACTGCTGGAGAGCTGCAGAGACATTAACCTCGACAGGGAAACATGTAATTTGTTTGGCAGAAATTGCCAGAGTGTTGCTGTACACTCCCAATTCAGCCTAACGTAACTACACTATATATTGTATCGTATTTGTAAAAGAAAGACTGCACTTGCTATACGTTTTTTCAGAAAATTACAAAAAATACTGGGTCTGTAGTAAGAAGTCAAACAACAATGTAATCCTCTCAGACAGATGAGATTCTGTTACTTGAGGAAGACCGGTCTGTAAGAATGTTTTTTCCTTTTCCGTGTTTGACACGATACTAGTGCCGTAGAAAAGTCATTAACTGTGAGTGCGCAGAGCCTTTAAATCGGTGTGAGGACACGCATTCAGCTTGCCCATCAAAGCAGCTGTGCGATTACTGCCGTTTTACTGAATATGAATGAAGTGGGAGCTAACGCTAACCTTTCATCTCCTACACTGAATTCTTGTCAGATATTAAAACTCACGCATGCCTGAGTTGCTTCTCTTCACCTTGTTTGTGAACCGGCACATTTAATGAGAGTGTTTCTTCAGAAACTTTGGCATTGTAACAAGCAGCCTGTTTGATGTGTCTGTGTGATTATCTCCCAATTGAGTTGAGTGGAAATTCTTCTTGTAAACATTAGGAGAAGGACTTCGAAATCACAACAAAGTGCAATGCATCCACCTTTTCCCCAAACCTTAGCATGGATCCATTCGAGGCAAAAGGGAAGATATTCACTGAATTGGCTCCAGATTTGATGAATAATGTAGCACTGCAGTGGTAGACTGGAAAACTCAGTGCCGTCCCATTAATAGGTTTTAACAACCTGGGGATCTTGTAGCTGACCCAGCATGGCCCCGAGAGCAACTGGAGGTGTAGTAGACTACTTTCTCTGCCTTTTACTGCCAAACTGCTGTCTACCTTGACTGATTAAAGAATTCTTCTAAACTGATAATGCCTGCAGAAGTTTCAGTGTAGTAAATATGTGTGCCTTTGCGTTTACCCAAGCATACACGGTTAAATTCAGTATTCACATCTGTCTCACATCATTACATTCTTACACATTAGGGCTGCCACGATTAGTCGACTAGTCA